CTGCTCTTGCAACTGAGTTTTGTACTTCTCTGCTTCTTCAATATAAATGTTCTGAAGTTTTTCACACTCCCCGGTGTAGAATTCTTTAAGTCGGTTTTCTAGCTCTGTTAGATCGGTCTGATGCTGCTGGTTTAACTTCTGGACAAATCCTTCATAAACTGTTTGTATCTCATTCCTGGCTTTTTCTAACTTCTCACAGGTGCTTGAAGCAGTGACTGAAAAGAGATTAAAAAGAAAGAGGGATCATTTACTCACTTTCTCATTCCTAGAATTCCTACCCAGCTGGGCACAAACACACTAGTGCCTCAGATCTCAGATTTTCAAGCATAACAGTACAGGAGAGAAGTGGATAAGGAAAAAGAATGGTCAAGTCATAAAAAGGAAGAAACTGACAAGCATTCAGGAAGAAGTATTTAAGAAGAGCCAAGGTCTATAGGGAAGACTGATCACCCTTTTGCTTGGGGACTGGCCAGAAAGCAGCACACTAGCAAGCTGAGACTCTTCTAATGATGGTACAGGCATACCTCATTTTAATGTATTGTGCTTTATATAACACGTCACAGATGCTGCATTTTATTACAAACTGAAGTTTATCTGTGGCAACCCTTCACCAAGCAAGTCTATTGGGCTCTTTGCCAATAGCATGTGCTCACTTTGTGCCTCTGTGTCACAGTTTGTAATTCTCACACTATTTCAAACTTTTTCCATAACACTATTGCATGCTTAATAGTCTAGTGTCTTGTATAAACATAACTCCATATGCCCTGAGAAACCAAAGGCTATGTGATTCGTTCTGTTGTGACACTACTTCTACTGAGGCACGGGCATTATGGAGACGTTTACTTTATTGCAGAGGTCCAGAGCTGAACCTGTGAGGTCATTGAAGTCTGCCTAGACTCTGCCCAAAGCCAATCAGAATAGAAAAGCTAAGGACAGTGAAGGAGCAGAAAAGAAAAATTAGAGATAGAAGACAAATGAACTTTAAGCTTGTAATTAATTTGAATGGATGTTAACTTATTGAAAAGCACAGTAATCAAAACAAAATATTAGAATATATTGAACACAAATCAACAGAGCGTATCAATTTTGGGAAATTCCCTATACACATTTTGCTACAATATGAATATATTGAAAAGTTAACATTTTAGAGAAACAAAATAAATCTGTCAATAGAATTTAAAATCAGAGCGTCCCATCACTTTATCATCAGACAGAGGTGAAAAGTATTACAGTCAATATCTGACACACACACCCCCCCCATGACAATCTCTAAAATTTTTCAGGTGCTTGCCATTGGACTTTTCAAGTGTTTCCGCAAATTGATTTTTTTCCCTTCTTCACTGATTTCTTTTTTAAAATAAAGAGTTTTATTTTAATGTGAGGAAGATGAATGTTCTCAAGATTCTATGAAGCAGCTAGTAGATTTGAACAGTCAATCTTTCAGCTGGCTGCCCAGCACATAACACCCTGTTCCAGCAGAGCTCCGCAGAGTATCCATGGATTAACATAACCAGACAGGTGAGTGTGTGCCAGGAGATAGAGGCCGTCACAGGGAACAATGACAGCTCAGTAGTTGAGATAAAATATTGGAGGTTATATATATATATA